GAAATAGTTAATCAAATGAGAACTTTTGGGGAGGATATTCTTGACAAGAAAATTGTTGAGAAAATTCTAATTACTATGCCCCCAAAATTTGAACCAATCGTGACAACAATAGAGGAAACCAAAGATCTGTCTACTCTATCAGTGACGGAACTAGTGGGCTCTCTTGAAGCATATGAGCAAAGACTACATAGGCATAAAGAAGATACACTTGAAAATGCCTTTCAGTCAAAGCTCAAATTTAAGTCCCAAAATAAAGAAAATGGAGGAAAGAAAAATTATGGTGAAACTTCCAAAAGAAGAGAAGTTCCTAGAAATTTCCAAAAGAACAATCCAGATAAAAATATTCCATGCAATATATGCAAACGACTAGGCCACACGGAGAAAAGTTGTTGGTACCGTAATATGCCACAATGCAATCATTGCAAGAAATTCGGGCACATAGAGAAACACTCTCGCAACAAAAATAGGCATCAAGCTAATATCGCAGAGGAGCATGATCAAGAACAATGTATGTTCTATGCCACTCAATAATCAATCAAAGAAAAAGGAGGAAGTTGGTACTTGGATAGTGGATGTAGCAATCACATGGCCAAGGATGAGACTATTTTCAAAAGCATTGATGAGTCAGTCAAAGTCAAAGTTCGACTAGGAAATGGAAGTGTGGTTGAGTCAAAAGGAAAAGGCACCGTCGTGGTAGAGACAGATAAAGGTACGCGACTCATCCATGATGTCTTACTAGTTCCTAGCCTAAAAGAAAATCTTCTAAGCATTGGCCAAATGACGGAGAAAGGCTACACACTTCACTTTGAAGGAGGTGTATGCAAAATCTTAGACAACAAGAATAAAAGGGCCGAGATAGCCGAAGTTAAGATGAATAAGAGCAATAGAAGCTTCTCACTAAATTTAAAATATACAACTAACATTGCCACATCAACACACATGCCTTGAAGTTGTTACATGATAAGAACATGATGAGAGATCTTCCAAGCATAAAGGATAACAATGAAGTGTGTGAAGGATGTCTCCTTGGTAAGCAACACCGATTTCCATTCTCAACAAGCGGAGCATGGAGAGCAAAAGATCTGTTGGAGCTGATACATACTGACGTTTGCGGACCGATGAGGACGCCACCACACGAGAACAACAGGTACTTCATACTCTTCATTGATGACTTCTCGAGAATGACATGGGTCTATTTCTTGAAAGAAAAATCAGAAGTTTTTGGAGTATTCAAAAGGTTCAAGGCCCTTGTTGAAAATCAAAGTGGAAAGCGGATAAAAGTACTAAGAAGTGATCGCGGAAAAGAGTACACATCCCGCAAGTTTGATAGATTTTGTGAGGATGAAGGCATAGAGCGACAACTTACAGTCGCATATTCTCCTCAGCAAAATGGTGTGTCTGAGAGAAAGAATCGCACAGTTATGGAGATGGCTAGATCGATGCTCAAAGAGAAGCGACTACCTAACACATTCTAAGCTGAAGCAGTCTACACTGTTGTTTACTTACTCACAGATGTCCAACTAAATCTATACAAGATAAGACTCCAATTGAGGCTTGGAACGGGAAGAAGCCATCAACAAAGCACCTAAGGGTCTTTGGATCTATATGCTACATTCATATTCCAGACGTGAAGAGGCATAAGCTTGAAGACAAGACTATACGAGGTATCTTCTTGGGGTATAGGACAATATCTAAAGGCTACCGTGTATATAACTTGCAAACAAAAAAACTCATCATCAGTCGGGATGTTGAAGTCGATGAGAATGCTTCTTGGAATTGGGATGAAGAAAAAGTGGAGAAGAATGTTCTTATACCCACTCAACTACCTCAAGAAGAAGCTGAGGAAGAATTCCTAGGTGAACCTTCTTCACCTCCACCACAACAACAAGTTCAAGAACTATCATCACCAGAGTCTACTCCAAGACGAGTAAGATCTTTGAGAGACATATATGAAACCTGCAACATGTCCATACTCGAACCTGAAAGCTTTGAAGAAGCATCAAAGCATGAAGCATGGGTCAAGGTAATGGAAGAAGAGATAAAGATGATCGAGAAAAATAACACATGGGAGTTAGTAAATCGTCCCCATGGAAAAGATATCATTGGAGTTAAGTGGGTCTATAAGACAAAGCTCAATCCTAATGGCACCATGCAGAAACATAAGGCGAGGCTAGTAGCTAAGGGTTACTCACAACAACCTGGGGTTGACTACAATGAGACATTTGCACCAGTAGCTCGTCTTGATACCATTAGAGCTCTAATAGCTCTTGCGGCACAAAAAGGATGGAGTATACATCAACTGAATGTCAAATCTGCCTTCCTCAATGGTGTACTTGAAGAAGAGATCTATGTGGAGCAGCCACAAGGATTCATATCTGAAGGCGAAGAGAGCAAAGTGTTAAGACTAAGAAAAGCACTATACAGTTTGAAGCAAGCTCCTCGAGCATGATATAGCAGAATCGATCAATATTTCATGGATCAAGGATTTAGGAGAAGCAAGAGTGAGCCCACACTATACATCAAGTCTCAAGGTCAGTACACTCTCTTACTCTCTCTATATGTAGATGACCTTATCTACACGGGAAACAATACTAAGATGATAACGAAGTTCAAAGAAGACATGATGATGACCTTTGAGATGACCGACCCTGGTTTGATGAGTTACTTCCTCGGTATAGAGGTAAGCCAAAGAAATGAAGGAATATTCATCTCACAAAAGAAATACACAGAAGGCTTACTTAAGAAATTTAAGATGTACGGTTGCAAACCTGTCGCTACCCCACTCATAACAAATGAGAAACTACAAAAGAATGATGGAGCACCAGAAGCTGATGCATCCAAATATCGAAGTTTAATTGGAAGCCTCCTATATTTGACCGCTACGCGGCCAGACATAATGTATACTACAAGTCTTCTATCAAGATTCATGCAAAGTACAAGTCAAATACACTTTGGAGCAGGAAAAAGAATTTTGAGATATCTACAAGGAACAAAAGAGTTACGTATATGGTACTCTACCGAAACTAACTCAGGATTACTTGGCTACACCGATAATGATTGGGCAGGTTCGGTAGATGACATGAAGAGCACCTCTGGCTATGCTTTCTCACTCGGATCAGGAATTTTCTCTTGGGCTTCGAAGAAGCAAGCTACGGTTGCACAATCCACAGCAGAAGCAGAGTACGTGGCAGCTGCTGAAGCAACGAGTCAGGCTATATGGCTTCGTAGGATACTTGAAGACATGGGAGAAAAACAGGATCAGCCAACTAAAATCAATTGCGACAACAAATCAGCAATTGCAATGGCAAAGAATCCAATGCATCACAGTAGACAAAACATATAACAATCAAGTATCACTTTATAAGAGAAGCTGAAGCAACTAAAGAGATTAAACTCGACTACTGCAGAACAGAAGATCAAATTGCAGACATATTCACGAAGGCGTTGCCGAGACCAAGATTTGAAGAGCTACGAGCTATGCTTGGAGTCAAAGAAATTTGTATCAAGGAGGAGTGTTAAATTTGCTACAAATTTCTAGAGAGTTCTTAAATATAATATGTAAGAAAATATAGAACATCCTAGAAACTATAAGGTGTATGAATATGGTAGAATAATCTAGATATATAAGAATATGGCAAAGATAGAAAAATCTAGATTTATCATGATAATAACCTATCATGAGAACTCTAGAATATTCACCACCATTGAAAGGTTGGTGACTTGAGCCTATAAATAGGCATTTGCTACATTGTAAACCATCATTCAAGAAATTAATTACAAAACCTTCTTTCTAAACTACTCTCTAAAACTATCTTCTACCAACTATCATCTAAACAACTCCAAACAATCTCCGATGACCTTCGCTTGAGCTCAACAAAAACATTGTTGTGAAAAAAGTTGATAAACCACTATTTCTTAAAGATTCAACATCAATTTTCTGAAAAAGACGTGAATGATATAATTCTAGCTGGTAGAAAAATATATCATAATTTAGGAATATTCATATAAAATACAAGGTGCTTCGGTAATTCAACACTATTTTTATCAATTATTTTTGCAATAGGTGGCTGAAGCTTCTAGTGGTCCTAACCATTTGAATTCTCGTAGTCCAGGCAATAATAAAGATAATGAAAACATTACTACTTTTTAGGAGTGAAAGTATATGTTTTTAATTGTGTTAATATTATTCATTTGTTCTTTTTATTTCTTATAGGTGATGATTAGAAACTACTAATGAGACTTAAAAGATGAAAATTTGAAAATGAAAACTTAACATTAAGTGAATATAATTTTTTTTTACAAACCATTTTTTGTTTTTAAGTATAATGCTCTAAATTACTCAAAGATTAACACGATTTATTTATAGTTAATTTTATATATTTTGTAAGATGTTAATTTTCAATATATTTACATATATGGTGTGATGCTTTTGTATTATTTTACTTCATAAATATCTCCTTTTAGGTAAAATAATTAACTTTGTAAAATAAAAGTATATATAACAGCATCACGAGTATGAATAGGGATGATAATCGGTAGAATGTAGGTTGGATACTAGTGCTCGATCTCATTCATGCAGTTTGAAAAAATCTTCATGCTCGAACTCGTACTTGCGTGAGCACTATTATTTATTATTTATATATGTACTTATATTCTATAGGTACCTAAGTATCGATATCCATATCTTTGTAATGCATTTTTAATAAAAATAGTTGATGAATTATAATTTAGCCTTAGTGAGAGATGCATGTGTGTTTCTGCTATTGCAAATGATCAAGGAAGAGATTTTGAAGAATGATGATGCATTTACAATAAGTTAAATAAAATTGCTTGCATACAAGTAAACACAACAAGAATTTGTGACCAAAAATATATAAAATTCCACCCTTCAAATATTAAACATAAAGTCCTGCATACAACAAAGTTATTTCTGATCACTATCTATCTTAAAGATTGTTTTAATTTTGATCTTGAAATGATATAATCAATTAAGAAAAAAATTAAATTTTTGTTCCATTCAGGTTTCCTCCTATCCAGTTAACCAACATCTGAAGTGAAGCTTTTGGTTGATCCATAGGAACCATATGTCCAGCATCATTCACCTTTAGAAAAGAGAGAGGTCCATAGCTATTCAATGATCCTGCATTTTTACCATCAACCAAAAAAGGAACTGTTTTGGAGGCCCCGAATTGTTTTTGACCCGACCACTTCATGCCATGAACCCATTGTGAATTCCCTGCCACATGAAAACGTAATAGAAAAGTCTCGTTAGAATTCGAGTTGTAATTTATTGGTTCCAAAATGGTTAAGTAGTTAGGATAGATCCCTCACCAAGCCAGTTGCAAATAAGATCGAACTCTCCAACATATATAAGAACCTTGATTCCATCCTCAAGAAGTGCTGGAATATCTTTTTCATAGTTTTTCATCCAATCTTGAACCAAAGCACTATACACTGCACTGCTGCATGAAACAAACTCTATTTCCCCAACACCCAACGCATCCCTAACCGTTTTCTTATTTAAAAATGTCTCCAAATTTGAGAAGTCATAACACAATTCTCCTTCACATTTCTTTCTGATGTCATAGTACTGCAGTTTTCAATATATCAATTTCGTTAAAATATAACTTGAAATTTATTTAAAGTAAAATCAGTTTTGTTTAGTTATGATTACTTACATTAATGTTGCCAGCAATGTCTAGGATATTAGTAAATATCGGTTGACATTGTTGTAAGGCTGTTTCACAACCTTCTCCACCTTTACTCTCTACAAATTAAATATGAACAATAAAATTTAATATCATAGAGAAAATATATTAATTCAGTAGTAATGTTATTTTAATTTCAAAGACTATTTCATATGTAACACTTTGTACTAAATAGTATATTTCATAAAAATAGAGTTTTTTTTTTTTTTTCAAATTCTACTATGCTAGTAAAATGGATAGTGATTAGAGTGTAAGGGATCTTGTACCACAATTTTTGGTGGCAGCTACACAATTTGGGATCAACTTGTTGATATTTGCTTGATCTTCCTTTGTGATCAGTTTGTTATCAACTGCAAACTGAGTATATGCTTGGTACTGAATTTCCGGGTTGGTCAATCCATTACCAATAGCAAAACCCTATAATTTTAATGGAATCAAATGAATCAAAACATAAAATTTGTTCTTAAATTCATAATATATTAATATTATTAGGATATTGTAAGACCTTGAAGTTTATAATAATTCCTTCTTTGTTTTTGTTTCCTTTGTGAACCCGGGATGCGAGAGCTGGAATATAGTGTCCAGCATATGATTCTCCAGTAATATAAAATTCATTCTTAACCAATTCAGGGTGTTCCTTGAAAAATGCCTGTATTAATTATAAAAAAAAAACTAAAGTTAATGTCATATAATTTATACACATTATGTGATTCATATCTTGATCACTTTCTGTAATGATTCTAAATTACTAATAGGACAAATGGTATTTTATATACCTGCAAGAAAGCATACAAGTCATTGCTAACACCAGATCCATCCGTAGGAATATCATTTTCATCAGAACTGTAGCTAAAACCTGTCCCAATGGGTTGATCAACAAAAATAATATTTGATCCCTACAAAACCAGAAAACATCTTATTAATGTTGTTAATAAATAAATTTTAGACATAATTAATACAGAGGCTTTAGAGGTATCAAAATTTTAATACATGCAATCAGATAATGATATCAGAGTTCCTTGGGTTACAAGTATCAAACAACTAAACTGACCTAACGAGACATCAATATATATATATATATATATATATATATATATATATATATATATATATATATATATATATATATATATATATATATATATATATATATATATATATATATATATATATATATATATATATATATATATATATATATATATATATATATATATATATATATATATATATTTCATAGGAGTTAAATTTTAATACCTTGTCCCAGCCATAGTCATTCAATGAAAGAGACAAATCATTGTTAATTATAAAAGGTCCATTCTCATAAAACAAAGCTAATTCACTTGCACAACCTGGACCTCCGGTCAACCATATCACAACTGGTGCATCCTTAGCACTATTTCTTGATTCAAAGAAAAAGTAGAACATCCTGCAAAAATTACATTATGTTTGTAAATCACAATGAAAATATGCAAAGAAAAAAAAGAGAGATACGTTTAATAGTACCTTGCAGATTTGGAACGAGGAAGCGAATAGTATCCAGCATGGTGACCAAGATCTTCAACGGAAGTTCCATTAGAACTAGCGAGAAACGAAAATGTCTTTTCTACGATCTTTCCTGGGACGAAATCATCAATAGAGTATTCACCATGTATATTAGCTGGATCTTTTGGGAATAAGTTGAAGCTTCTTATAAGCTGTTCAGCTCGTCGATTTGATGAAAATTTTGTCGTTGAAAATCGTTGTTGATGTGTGATGCGAGAAGTCGCATATGATGAAGAAACTAAAATGAAGAGCAAGAAAAAAGACAGAGTGGTTTTGGAGAATTTCATGTTTGTTTGTGAGAAAAGTGAAGCAATGGCAACGTTTTTATAGCATAGAGTGGCAACTTTTTTAATATTTTATTTTATCTTATTCCCTCCTTTTTATTTTCCTCATTTAGTTAATTATTTCTACTAATTTAAAAAATATTTTTTAATTATTACTAATATAGAACATTGATATAAGAGTTAAAAATATATTTTTTTCTAAATTAGGGCAATGCTATTGTCCATTGTTATCATCAAAATCTGGTATTGATACATTGTAATAATTAATGAATTTTGCTGACACATGGTAGATAATTCAATTTGGTTGTAATTAGAGAGATACTGAGATAGTATTTTATAACAGTATCCAGAATGGATATTAAAATACTAATAATGCCAAAAAAAGTAATTGGGTCAATAGGTATAAAAAGAAGACAATTAGGATTCTCTCTCACACAAATGGTATAATTTGTTTATTTTCTTATAGGAAACTTAGAAAAGTATTTATTTCATCTAATTTCGTTATACCCATTATAACCAATGATTTCAGTTTTCTACAAGTAAGTTGTTCTTCAATGTCAATTGTAACTTATTCTAATGCACTCTTTTTCGTTCCTATTTTATTTTTACAATATCGGATTATCTTCAATATCATATTTATACCTGTTATTTTTTATTGATTTGTTAGATTAACATTTTTGTTGTTATATTAAATCATCCTTATCTTATCGAAGATTTTAGTTATATAATTTAGAGAGACCTTAGGGTGGAAAGAGTGACACACTCTTGTCCTCCGTCCTTACCTAATGCCATTGCACTAGTTCAAGTGTCCTTTAACATCAAGTTTTCCGTCCATAATGTGGGATATTGCGTAGAGTGTATATTGGGTTAACACACATTATATATATTGGGTTAACACACATTATATAAGAAGTTGTCAGACTTAACCACACTTCTTCAATTTTAGGGAATCAATCACCCATATTTAGAGTGGTTATAAATCATAGGAGATCAAATTCACACCCACTATGTTATAAAATATTTAAGGCAGCGTTTTTTTTTGGACTTTAGTAGCGCTTAAAAGTGTTGCCTAAAGTGGCGCCGCTATAGGTAAATGCAACGCTTTTTTTAGACTTTAACAGCACCTTAAAAGCACGGCCTAAAGTGGCGTTGCTGTAGGTAAATGCAAGATTTTTTTATATGCAAAAGCACTGTTTTAGGCCCCCTTTTAAATGTAAAAACATTCTCTAATAACACCTTTAGACAACACTTTTTCATAGAAAGCGCTTTCTTTTGCTCCCCTTTTAAAAGCGCTGCTTAATGTATCTTTTCTTTCTATTTTAGACAACGCTTTTTCATAAAAATCGATATCTTATGTATCTTTTCGTTATACTTTAGGCAGCGCTTTCTTTTCTGCCCTTTAGACAGCGCTTTTTTTTACAAAGGGCTTTCTTTTCCCCACGTAAATATCGCTTTTTAAAAGCATTTTTTTAAAAATCACTTTTTTAGGAAGCATTTTTTTATAAGCGCTGTCTATTGCGAAATTTTTTAGGAAGCGTTTTTTGTTAAAAGAGTTGGCATAAGTCTTATTTTTTAATTATAAAATGGTAGCACAAACCATTAAAATTCAAATTTTTATCAAAATTTATCACAAACCTTTTATAATTCAACAAAATCCTTTATTTCAACACATAGGCCTTATATACCGTTATAATTCAACATACATATACCATTATAATTCAACACATAAATCCTATAACCACTATAATTCAACACATAAACCTTATAACCTTTATAATTCAACACAAACCTCATACACCAAGAAAACATCCATAATTCTATCCACTTCCAAAACCTTTAACTTATAAAAGATTCACCTAATATAATTACAAACATCAATGCTCAATTCACAACAACTACCAGAACTATACAACAACTTCTAAAACTATACAACATGACCTCCAGAACTATTCCTACTCAGTACAGAACATCACAACAACAAAAATCTCTAAGGAGCATAAACTTCACACAAAAGAAAGAAAGACAATATACCTTATATAATTCTATCTGAAGAATGTATTGACGCAATTTCTCCTAAGTTTCTTCCAGTTTATCTTTGGAGTAAGTAGCACACTTGAATTCATCAAAGTACTACATAATATGCATGATTTAGTTAAAACTAATTAATTAGATGAAATATTCGTTAAATATTAAAATAAATCCTAACTTAAAAATTCATACCATGTTTGAAATCTCTATTTGATCCAAATGAATAATTTCTTTCATAAACCTCAATACAAAATAACTACAATCTATACTATTACGCTGACGAGGATACTACACATAGAAAACAATACGAATATATATATATATATATATATATATATATATATATATATATATATATATATATATATATATATATATATATATATATATATATATATATATATATATATATATATATATATATATATATATATATATATATATATATATATATATATATATATATATATATATATATATATATATATATATATATATATATAGTTTAACTTGTTTTATCAAGTAGCATCACTATTATAATCAAAATTGTGAAAATATACATGCACTATGATCCATGTAATGTTGTTTGCTTTACTCTTTGGTACTTGAGCTTGTCTTTGTGATCGGAATATTTGTATAACTCTAACATAATATAAATACATATTTAGAACAATCTGACATAAATGAATAACATAATACACACAAATATTTAGAACAATCTCAACACTTACGTATCAATCGTCCTCTTCATATCTGTGTATTTTATTTGATCATCATCTAACGAATCCAGATAATATACTATTTCTTTTATCAGATTAATTGCAACCAACAACCAATGTCCACTGTAAAATAAAACAAAAGTTTAGATGAACATTTTCTACACAACGTCAAAAAACGAAAAACTATAATAAATGAAGTTAGAATAAAAATCTAATCGATGACTAGTATTATATGGTAAAAGATGCAACTTTTCTATATCTCTATTGGCTACAAATGTATCGACTAAGTGATCTTTGACTGCATTTGGACTTTGTTCGATTACCGTGCATTGATACAACTGAGAGATAAGAAAGAGAATCTTTCTGTCAATTGACGCGTGCACATCAATTTGTCATACAAGAACCTTAAATAAAAACATAATCAACATTAGAATATTCATTGAAATGAGTAAATAAATTATTCAATTAATTAAATAAAATTGATTGGAATACCTGATGTATGAATTCATAACATCGATGCCTAATTCAGAATATTGAAAAATCTGATCCAAATCCTGTTTGGCAATTGTATCGGTATAAGAAAAACAAAAAATACCTTCCTCCATAAGTATTTCACGAATACCACCTTCCATCATATCTTTTGTTCCTACATATGCTTCAAGGCACAACCTAAATCGAGGAATAGGTGCTTTTTTAGGCTCGGTCGTAAGATCCTTGTTTTTGTTGGACATATTCTTGCTAACTTGTTGCAACTCTTGAGCATGAATCTAAAAATCATATAAGAGTTAGGTAATGTATAAGATCAAGAAACTTTTGAATTTGGAGGATAGCATTAACATTTTATATGCATATATATATCAATTTACCTTTTTTTTTATGCAACTGACTAAGTGTGTCACACAATCCCCTTATCTTTTGATTTGAATTTTGTAGGAGTCTAACAATATTACCATGTAAATAAAATGTACGTAAATGTAAGAATAACTTACATGGCTCGTAAAACATTTGAATACTAAAAGGTTCATAATGGTTTTCAACATACCTTATTATCTATGAAAATGAGGTTTAACGGCCATGCAACATACGATCCTATTGCGTCTCCCACCAATGTTGCATCTGAAACATCATCCGGTATAGGTAATAACGCACCCCCTCTAAAGTAATATCAATCGATACTTTTAAAAATCCACCAGGGAACGGTTTATGGTGAAGTACATCTCCCAAAGTGTTATGCATTTTTCCCTTGCCAACCATGCGATATACGGTGACGATAAATAGAGCTGACAAGGTGAAATACCCTAAACCAATAATAAATATAAATTTTTTATTGTGTATATATGTCAATTAAAAAAATTGTGCTAATGTAATTTCATAATAATATATATAATTACCTCGGGAATTTTCTGTTGAACATTACAATTGATACTATCTTTGTCACTAGTATCTTTAAACTTTGAATTGCGCCTTTCTGACATATATCTTTCTTTATCCTTTTGCAATTCACGAATTTGAGCTTTTAATTCCTCCAACGATTCCATCACTTGTTTTTTGCTCGAACTTTTACTCTTTAGATGTTATACAAGCTTGTTGGAGTGACCCCAAATCCCTTACCCCTCACACGACCAGAATACTCAGGAACATTTAATACTCGACTTAGTATGCTCCTGCAATCATGATCTTCAGCTAGAGTTAAAGACTGAGATAGATTCTCCTGAAATTCATATGCATATCGAAAAATATTAGTGGGGATTAAAAAGCATAAAAATTATATGTTAATAATCTTTTGATTTAATTAAAGAAATAATGTTATACTTACACATTGCTTAAAAACTTGTTGAACATCTTCCTTAACAACACCATCCTTACCCACACGAGTAGCCTTCCACAAAACATGTTCCGAAAGAGATGTTTCTTCACTTTTATCCTCTTCTAACTACACATTAAGACAAATAATAAGATCAATAATAACACATGAGGAACAAGTATATCATATATAGCATTTATATATAGTTACTATTTTTTCTCTAAGCGTGTATATCCCAAACGCCCTTTTTTGTATGGATACACGGGTTTTGAGGCTCGTTGGCGATTTATGTCACTTACATCCTGGATCAACATGTTTAAGTCATATCAGAACACCTGTGGAACAAGTATATAATACAATGTTCATGATAAATTAACATTACATGGAATTCTTGGGTTCTTCGTTTGGCTACAAAAGTTTCCCATTCTTTAGGTGAAATCAAGTCTGCATGC